TTTTCGTGGCTATCCAAGAAGCAACAAACGGTTGCTCAATTCTCAGCTGAAGCTGAATATATATCAGCCTCAATTGTAACATCACAAGTCATTTGACTGAGGAGAATTTTAGTAGATATTGTGGAGAAGCAAAGAGAAGCTGCACCACTATTTTGTGACAACAAATCAGCAACTGACATGTCAAATAATCCAGTTTTTCATAACCGAACAAGACATATTGCAATCAAGTACCGCTTCATTAGAGATGCAATTGAACATGGTGAGGTTGAACTCAACTATTGCAAATCTGAAGAACAAATTGCTGATATCTTCACAAAAGCACTTCCAACGTCAAGATTCCAACAATTAAGAGAAGTACTCGGAGTTGAAGAAAAACATATTAAGGGGGAGAATATTAATGTGTAATGTGTATTTATTTAAAGAATCATTTAATTTTTTAAATAAGTGAGTTTTATTAAAAACTGTAATATCAATCAACACATACCAGAAACCAGAACAATTTTTTGGCTAGATACATGACTTTCTGGAATTTATTTCCAAGGATACTTGTAAGCATCACAAATTATGTGGTCCTCAGGTTTCATTCCGTGGAGCAATATTCACAAGTCGAAGTAGGTTTTGCACAAAGCATTTATCACAACATTTTGACGCCTCATGTATTTGAAATACTGTGCCGATTCAATGGGAGAAAAATAAAAGAAAGAAAAAGAAAATGGATTGCTGATACGCAGTGATAAATTCTATATTACACTTGTGAAATGCCACGTATCCATGGGCCAAATTCTCTCATTATTTTAATACTTCAATCTGGAACCTCGACAAAATGTGAAAATTGTTGACCTTGTTCTTTGCACTGTAGATGTGTACAACAGATATCGGGCCTACTCGCGTTTTCTCAAGTTAATTTCAACATGAGTTGAGCGATTGTCAATCGATAATAAATCAGGGTTTGGACGTGGGAGAAAGTTTATAACATGAGATAAAAATGTCCGGGTTGTAACGAAATATATGATATAACTAACACTAATAAACGACCAACTAAGAGTCAAATTCACAATCAAGATTCTACCTGAAACACTAAAAACCCAAGATTAATCAGAAAGAAAGATAATATATAGCTTGTAGTCTATATCTTTCCATTACCCCCAAATGACACAAATGGGAGATATCTATAGTGTTACATGTGAAATAGTTAACATTGGAAGAAATGACACGTAGCTTCAACTCCTTTACCAACGCACTACGTCTTAGGTATTAATTTTGACTCCACTAGCCTATGACGAATTAAATGTCCCCAAAAGAAGACGGTTATCCCATAACCTACGGTGACAAGATTGACATTTTTGCTCATTACAACAGACCAATCAATTATTCTAAAAGAATTTCATAAATTCAAGATTTTCAAACGTGAATCATCATCAGCCTTAGTTGAGTCTCCGTTTATACTTCGTTGGACATCGCCACTTGGGCAAAGAAGTTTCGTTTGGGCCTTAGATTTGTCTTTAGCATAGGGGTTTCGGAAGAGGTCAGCTTCATGAGTTGTTTCGGTTTGATGGGCTTCGATGGGTCAAATTGTCTGGATTGTGGTAGATCCTACTCCACGTCTGATGCCACATGGCTTTGGCAGAAGGTACGGTCGGGTAATCCACGTGGGAGCCTAGGTGGGGGAAGCATAACAAAATAAGTTGGCTAAATTTAGGGAACACACTAGTGAATGAATCTCGACAAAATCCAGATTTTATGAAACTCAACTTATTTATTTGAGAAAAAACCCCATGTTTTAGTTG